TATATATTATTACGTAAGTCACATCAGCACGCTGCTCAGCTTGTAAGCAATGTATGTTGTAGGTGTACAGCTGACCCTGCATAAACGGTCACCTCTCCAAGGAGGCAATCTACAAGGCAAAGTATTTTAAAGGACAGGCTAAAAGCTGTTTCATTCAATTATCAAAGACAACTTTAAAAACTGTTTCTTTAAAGTATCAAATTCCTCTTATAAAAATGTTTCTCAAAACCATGAAAGTCCTTTTCAACTGGCATTTCACATCCACGTTACATTTATCGCCCATCGTAATTAAATCAGGCTTTTGTGATTAATGATGACATAATAGGAGCATTAGACATTTTCCCAAACGATGGTTGATTCATATCGAAGTTTTCGTTGTTGTTGTTTTCTTTTCTTCTTTTTCATTTGCACAAAGCTCTCACGTCCTTATTTAAACATATTTATGTTTGAATTTTGACTGATGAACGTTATAATGTAACTTTGCAGTTACCAAGGACAGTCAGGCTTTGGTTGTCATCATACATTAACAACCGTTTTCTCGCTTTTTTATTGTTTACCTTTTTAACTCGCAAGTATCTTAACTTTTATAATTTTTTTCATCAAAAGTAAAAAAACCGAATAAGCTACAAGATAGATCTAATTCAAATAACTCCATGGGATGGATTTTTTTTTAAATGACGAGGGCCGGAAAGCATGCATATCCTAACGCAAATCTTTCCATTTGTCGAATTGTCCCCAGCATTAATTAATTATTGTGATGGTATTTGACTCTGCTATCTTTCTGCAATATAAAATTCTGTCTTTTGCCGTTCTGCCTACTTGAGTTCATTGATGGTCCAAGGTTCACCCACACACACTGATGCAGGGATTGGTACTTCTAAGATTTCCAGTAGTCATAAGAATAGTTATATGGAATCAATAGATTTTAATTTAATGAAGTTTTAGATCCTTAAAATCGGCAAAGGATTTAAAAGGCTATGTGTCATCAACCTTTCTATATTATAGCTGTGAATGTTGGATAATCGCTGAAGTTAGTGAAAAAAAAATTGAAGCAACGGAAATGTTGTTTCTCATCAAACTGTTAAGAATTTCTTGGAAAGAAAAAAAATCAAATGAGGTAGTACATGTAAAAGCCCACGTGGGTCACTTGCTGATAAAAACCAGTTTGAAAGAGACATTTGCAAATTCTGGGAGACTTGAACAGACATAAGTGCCTTGAACATCTAGCTCTCACTAGTTAGGTTGAAGGCAAACGAGGTAGCCGTAGACGGGACAACTTACTTTGATTTTATTTTGTGGAGGGGGGGGGGGGGGTTGAGAGAGAGCATCTGAGCAAAGGAATGAATGGCGTACCATTATCGTCGATGCCTGTCACAGATCTCCCACTTGATGATGAAAATCGTCAGTACTAAAGTTATAATAAAAGCAGCTTTATCAAGCATAACAAGGGAGGTAACAAAGTTATTTTCTTCATATGCCAGGATTTGCGCGCTTATCTCTCTGTCCCCTTCTTTGTATCTTTTTACGTGTCAACGTAAGTAGTAAGTCGTGTGTAGCGGGTTGAGGTTCATATCTTCCTTGTGTCTCTCTATGTGTAGACGTCAGCAGCGTGCTCAGTACTTATTGCAGCGGGCCAGGGTTCGTTTCTCCCCATCTACGTCTGTGAAGCTCTCGCACGTGCAGGTGGCGCCCTCTATGACCACAGACTGGCCGATAGGAAGTGTGAGCAGGCCGATCTGACAGTTGGGGCCTGGAGAGGAGAGAAGCTTTGAGTTTGGGCAGTGGGTTAGAGGTAAGGGGTTAGGGGTTATAGGTTAGAGGTTAGGGATTAGGGGTTAGGTGTCAGGGGTAAGGCGTTAAGGTTATGGTCAGAAACACGAATTTGTATCATCTGAAGCGTGCATGTTGTTGCCTGTCCTTTTGATGTCGATTAACAAATCAGAATAGAAATAATATAATAAAAAGTAAAAATGACTAAGCTATTCGTTTGTTTATTTGTTGTTTTTTTTGGTGTTTTTTTGTTGTTGTTTTTTTTTGGGGGGGGGCAGGGGTTGTTGTTGTTGTTGTTTTGTTTTGTTTTTGGTTGT